GTCCACTTCTTCTTGGTTATTTCAGTGGTCGGTCAAAGTTCGCAAAAGGTCGTTCTAACGTGATCCGCAATGGGATGTCCTCAGATGTTTTTTAGCAGCAGCGAGAACTTAGATCTGATTTGAATGAGATTGATTATTATTTTCTAGACCGTCTATGAAAGCCCACCAAGACATCAGTAAGTCTTTATAGAACTTATTGTTTACCCTAGATAATATATATATGGCTTATGCTTCCGGCTGTTGATCTCGTACACATTTAGATCGATCATTACGATCATTACGTCTTATACGTAGGGTCGACTTATACACAGCGATATACGGTATATAGAAGTTTGTGAAAAGATTAAAAAACATGATTGAGAATTGGTTGGTTATGAAGGCTCGTTTTATCATTGACATCTTTTAAGATTATATGACTTATTTTAGTGCATTTAATTCCTCCATCATTAGTATCACATATTACTTGTGATTATTATCAGCATTTCCCATTGCTTGAACCTGTTTTCGTAGCTAATATCCACCATATCATACAGATCAAGACAGAGTTTCATTTTTTATCTTTTCTTGGACCCTATCCATATTAATATTGTCTTATCTGTGTTTACTTTCAACCTGAAAAGCGTCCATTATACAACAGTTACCACTGATCAGGCTGATGACATTTTCACACAAGTGCTGTAAGGCCATAATAAATCTATTACCAGATTCTCATCCCATTCTTTTCAAATATGTGAGGGAGGCATTCTATTTTATTACCGTATTCGACGTAATAAGCGCCCCGCTCTAAAACATATCTGTCATACATAAACATTTCAGCCTGTCACCATAAACCACGAAATATATCTTTCAACTCTGCTTTTTTTTCACCAAAATAATATTCTAATAAGAGCCCCCTATTTCTAATTTTGAGGGCGCCCTGGGCGCTTATTACGTCGAATACGGTACTTTATTCAGGGAGAATACAATAATTTTTTGCCAACTATTTTTCCATAGCAAACAGCTGCGTATTCTGTGTGCATGATAGTGAGTGAGTGACTGCGTTTGGTTTAACGCCGCTTTTAACAGTATTAGTTATATCGCGGCGTGTCAGCTTCATGTGGGAGGAAAGCCCGAAGTGATGCAGGTCTCCAACGTTTACCACTTTGGTGAAACCCACGAGCACGGTTATGGAGCTGTCAAACCTAGAAACATAATCGGGGCGAACCGGGATTCGAACCCACAATCATAGGTTTCTGGCGTGCCAAAAGGACTAACTCTGCAAAGCGAATCGCGGCGCCTTAGACGACTGGGCCACCCGTGCCCCCTGTGTGCATGATAGACACTTACAGAGAGTCTTGATGTTTTTCTTCAAAGCAAAGACATCACCAAGAGCGTCAAACAACAGAAAAAGCATGTCAACAAATCCTTACTGAAGTACACAAGTTACTCTTGTTTCATTTTTATTACACTATCTGGTTGAAAAAAGTGAAGTTTTACATAAAAGAATTCTCATTTTCATGGATCACGTTTGATGTCTTCTGTTCATTTATCTGAAGCGAAAAGATTTAGATTCTGACTGCTTGACCATGATACACAAGAATCTGTTCAAAGTCATAAACAAACTGCCGTATATGTCTGCAGATAAGCCGAATTTTGAGGACCAGAAAAAAGATTCTGTAGGAAATGGGTCGGCTTATCCACCATGTGTCCACTGGATACATTTTCATGATAGCATTTTTCAGATCATGATCTGTCAGAAACAATGCCTGAATGACGGTCCTATAGACATGATAGATTACAACTTCTCGAAAGTTTGGAAGTTGCCACGAGAACAGTCATTATTGTTATTAATAATCAATAAAGTTATTATTATACACCAATGTTGTCAATATTAATTTTTTAAATGCATGTTACTATTTATGATCATAAGTTTTCAATTGAATGTTCAAGGTTTATCGTTCTTCATAAATTCCACGATCTTTACATAAAACAATATAATCCACCGATATAATATATAATCCACCGATGAAATCTACAATAGCTATTGCGTACATTTTGCAAAGTTCATAAAGTGATAGTGAACAAGTATCTACCCATAATGAAAGAGGCAAATAAAGAACTGAAACAGCGAGTTTGCCATTCACCATTTGCCAAAAAACATGTGATCAGCTGTTTCCTGTGACGTGAACAATGTGATTGCTTCCCGTTGTTTTAAAAGCAACACAGTACACAAGGAAGTGTCATGTATGGTGATTTGAACATGATAAACACTCGAAACAAAATGTGCTGAGAAGAAGTTTGGGAAAGTCGGCGGTGGATGAGAACCTACCAATTATATAAGCTGTATTAAACATATGATACAGTCTTCAGCAATCTGAGATATTATTCATTTAGACTAATTTATGCATCTACTGTTCAACTTCTACAAAGTTATGGGACCAGGGTAGAACCTGGTTTTGTATGGTGCAACTAGGTTATCATACTAACAAGCACCTGGTGCAAGTTAAATCAAGTTTCTTAAATCAAGCCCTGCATAGGCATGTCAACAGCTAGGGGAATCACTCTATATGTGACAAAGGATTATTCAAGAGGTTTAAACAAAGTGTATTGTTCAATAATTTTTTAATTTAAAGTTACACGATATACAGCTTTTCAATTAGACGAGAGGTCGGTCACCTAACTGCAAAATTGACGTTCATAAGTGTTTGAGCGACACCATTTGATGTTCATACGTTTTACTCAAGACCATGTTCTTGAAATGATGTAAACACTGACGGACTACTTCCACGTTCCTAGGGAAACCCCTTGGAATTTCCTTGCATGAATACGTACAGAAGTGTTCTTTCTGATCATTTAGACCCTTTGATCTTGAACTCAGTGTTTTAGCATATATTGAGAAACGTCAGAGTTTGACTGCACGATCGTTCACGAATACCCTCGCTACGACCCATCCTAGTGAACAAAACGAAGAAATGCACATCCTAACTATGGTAGTATTGGCTCGATCCGTGTCTAGGCTGGCAGTGACTGTCTACAGCAATCTATGACTTTACCTTAGTGTCGATTTGACACATATTTAATCACCTTTCAAAGATCGGCCAATTGATCAATGATGACTAAAACATGTAACCGCCATAGGTTCATTAGCAACTCCCAAAATCTCTCCCGTCACGTTTATCGTGTCGGCCATTTTGACACCTTGTACTTAATGTAAATGTATTACGACATGCTGTCATTGTGACTGACTTACTGAGGTAGTTCTAAACAGACCTTTCTCATCTAATGGTGATATTATTTGAATACATGTGTAGTGAGTAGCTGAAGAGCAAGGTGTGCATCCATATGCTCATGGCACCTCTCTTTTTGAGGAACTATTTTATTCCGTGATATCGTTGGTTGTTGTATGGCTGTCAGTGTATACATGAAGTCACACATACTTAATGAAATTGACCTTTGAGGTAAGAAATTGTGATAAAAAATTATAAGAATTGACTTTCACTTTGTGTGAGGTCATTGGAGTATGAACCTTCATAGAGTGGGGGCCAAACTTTGTATGAACGTTGTCGCAAGCTCCGACGTTCATACAGTTTGACCTCACTCTATGAAGGTTCATACTCAGATGAACTAACACAAAGTGAAAGTCAGTTCTTAAATTTAAAGCAGTGCATCTTCCTGAGGCAAGGGAGTTCACTGACTATAAACATGATAAACGTCCAGTTGAAGAGGGGATAAGCATAGACTGCTACAGCTGAAGAGGGGATTAGTATAGGCTGCTCGAGCTGAAGAGGGGATGAGTATAGGCTGATACAGCTGAAGAGGGGATGAGTATAGGCTGCTACAGCTGAAAAGGGGATGAGTAAAGGCTGCTATAGCTGAAGAGGGGATGAGTATTGGCTGCTAGAGCTGAAGAGGGGATGAGTATAGGCTGCTACAGCTGAAGAGGGGATGAGTATTGGCTGCTATAGCTGAAGAGGCGATGAGTATAGACTGCTACAGCTGAAGAGGGGATGAGTATTGGCTGCTATAGCTGAAGAGGGGATGAGTATAGGCTGCTACAGCTGAAGAGGGGATGAGTATTGGCTGCTACAGCTGAAGAGGGGATGAGTATAGGCTGCTACAGCTGAAAAGGGGATGATTAAAGGCTGCTATAGCTGAAGAGGGGATGAGTATAGGCTGCTAGAGCTGAAGAGGGGATGAGTATAGACTGCTACAGCTGAAGAGGGGATGAGTATAGGCTGCTAGAGCTGAAGAGGGGATGAGTATAGGCTGCTAGAGCTGAAGAGGGGATGAGTATAGGCTGCTACAGCTGAAGAGGGGATGGGCATAGGCTGCTACAGCTGAAGAGGGGATGAGTATAGGCTGCTAGAGCTGAAGAGGGGATGAGTATAGGCTGCTAGAGCTGAAGAGGGGATGAGTATAGGCTGCTAGAGCTGAAGAGGGGATGAGTATTGGCTGCTACAGCTGAAGAGGGGATGAGTATAGACTGTTAGAGCTGAAGAGGGGATGAGTATAGGCTGAAAGAGTTGAAGAAGGGATGACCACAGCTGAAGAGGGGATGAGTATAGGCTGCTATAGCTGAAGAGGGGATGAGTATAGACTGCTATAGCTGAAAAGGGGATGAGTATAGGCTGCTACAGCTGAAGAGGGGATGAGTTTAGACTGCTACAGCTGAAGAGGGGATGAGTATAGGCTGCTATAGCTGAAGAGGGGATGAGTATAGACTGCTATAGCTGAAGAGGGGATGAGTATAGGCTGCTATAGCTGAAGAGGGGATGAGTATAGGCTGCTATAGCTGAAGAGGGGATGAGTATAGACTGCTATAGCTGAAGAGGGGATGAGTATAGGCTGCTATAGCTGAAGAGGGGATGAGTATAGGCTGCTACAGCTGAAGAGGGGATGGGCATAGGCTGCTACAGCAGAAGAGGGGATGAGCAACGGTAGCTGAGAAGGGGATGAGAGCAGAATTAGGATGACTGTCATAAAACACATACGCTCTGGGGTGTGTAAGAGACTAATCTCACCATAGCATTCTCCGGTGTGTGTGTTAAAGAACCCTGCGTTGGTTGCCAGGACACAATGTTTCTGTTTGGCACTCTCCCTCACGGTGGCTCTTTCAGCACTCCCATTTAAACACATCCCAGGGGCACCAGGCTCAAGGACGGAAAATGTTTTCACAGGGTTATTAACTTTTTGATACAGCACTGTGACAGTCCTCTTGTTAAAATAATACTCTCCTATACTCTTGAGCTGATGTCTGGACTCGACTAGCGGGAGGGTCAAATTGACACTGCTGTGTGCTTTATGCTTCGAGTGTGTCAGGTTCCCATATTTTATGTGCTGGCAGTCTCGCACTTCTCGATGCGTTCGATGTGAACCATGATGGGAAAGATATGGCAGCAACAAGTCCATCCCCTCATCACCGACTTTCTGACCACTGTAAGACAAAATACATGACAGTTGAATATTGGTAATAAGCACATTTTATTATATATTCATGATATTAGATACTATTTGTGATTGGCTGGTTGGTTGGTTGGTTGTTTTACGCCGCACTCAGCAATATTCCAGCTATATGACGGCAGTCTGTAAATAATCAAGTCTGGACCAGACAATCCAGTGATTAATAAAATGAGCATCGATCCACGCAATTGGAATTGATGACATGCATCAACCAAGTCAGCGAGCCTGACCACCCGATCCCATTAGATCTCAAATCTTTTTTGGAGGAGGTTTACAGATACAAGATACTAGGGCTGTACCCATTCATGAATTGAATTTGTTATTTCTGACCAATAGAATTGAATATTTATTAATATGCAGTCACCTTCATTTACATACCCTGTATCTAAAATTATCCATAAGAAAATATTATATACATAGATTTCTTCAAAGACAACACTCTTATAATAGTTAAATTGACAGTAATATGTTCACTGGTCATTGTCACATTTGAGCAGATACTAGTACCTGGATAAGTGAAATATATAATTGTATAATATGTTAATACTTAACATCCATGTCAAATAATTTGTGTTGCTTTTGTTTCATTGAATATAACAAATAATACATCAACTGCTGACTTGTTATTGTATTTGTGAATTAATATTCATATTCGTTGACCTATATTTGGGATACAAATCGTATTCGCCTCATAGAGTATTTGTTGCAGCCCTACAAGATACTACTTATACTTGTACAATTTACAGTCGAACTTGGTTGTGTCAAACTTGTATGTGTCGAATTTCCGGTACTCTCGAACTCTTTTGGGTGTCCCAAGTATGCAAATCAAGCAAAAAACTCCCCTGATGACTCGAAACATCCACACACCCAACTTTCAATCACTTCACACACAATTGTCTGACCTGCAACTGCAATTGCGTCAAAGGCAGGATATCTTGTAACAACAAGCAAATACCCAATCAAGCCTAACTACCTAGCACACCTGACAACAATGGTGCAAGCTGATAACTATATACACATCTGCAGCAAGTTACTTTAATTTACTCATATGACGGCTAATGACACATGAAAATTGAGAAATGAGTAAACGTGTTACGGTTATATCAGTGAATCTATTATTCGAGATACCGTATTTGACATAATAAGCACCCAGGGCGCTCTCAAAATTAGAAATAGGGGGCTCTTATTAGAATATTATTTTAGTGAAAAAAAACAGCGTTGAAAGATAAATTTTGTGGTTTATGCTGACAGCCTGAAATGTTTATGTACGGCCGATATATTTTTCCAGAATTTAATTGCCCATAATTAAGGGTGCATATAACACAGGAGTGCGTATTATACGCAAATGAATAAGTCTTGTTTACATTGATCAATCTGAAGGGTGCTAATTGGCGCTTATTACGTCGAATACGGTAAGACTTAAATAATGAGGCCAATCAAGATGGGGACAGTGAATGATACGTCAAAGTTGCCGCCCCCTTCAGTGGCCTTCACTACCGGCAGCCTGGGCAATGAAATTCACGTACATCTTGAAATCTAGTGTTGCATCCGGACCTGGTATTACTCTCTCATAACATAATGTTTGGTTTTGGAAGATGCTCTTGGTTGTCTCGAACCCCGGACCACTTTTTTTCCAGGTCCCCATGAGTTGACACAAAGAGATTTGACTGTATATCTTTGTCTGACCATGCTAACTGGTGTACTACGTCCAACCCTGAAGCATCTATCCACTATCACCTAACTGTATATATTAAACATATTTTATTGCCCAAAAAGACAAAGGTATTGAGCACAAGTGCACCACTTACTGCCACCTTCTCCCTATATACAGTTAAACATAATATTGCATAATGGAAATGAATAATTTACAACTGAAGCTTGACACTGAGGAAACATAGTGCATAATATATATACACCTAACTGTGACAGTGTCTGGGCAGTTTTCGAAACTAAGGGGATCCCGGCAGCTTACCTCCCATATTATTTGAATGTAGGGATTCCTAAATCTATACATTTTAACACTGGGGTTATGACAAGGACCCCTTCACACTCAAGCTTAATTTCAAACACTATGATGTGATCCAGCTTCCTGTCAAAGTAAACATGAGGACACATTTTCATAACTTGTTCTCCTCTGAGTTTTTGGTCTGAAATATCTCAATGTTCACATCCACGGTAGTGATGATTGCAAACGCTGTACTTGAGAAACTTGGCAAAATGATTGTTTTGTTTATTGATTGATGCCACACTCAGCAATATTCCAGCTTTATGACGACAGTATGTAAATAATTGAGTCTGGACCAGACAATCCAGTGATTAATAAAATGAGCATCGATCCACGCAATTGGAATTGATGACATGCATCAACCAAGTCAGCGAGCCTGACCACCCGATCCCATTAGATCTCAAATCTTTTTTGGAGGAGGTTTACAGATACAAGATACTAGGGCTGTACCCATTCATGAATTGAATTTGTTATTTCTGACCAATAGAATTGAATATTTATTAATATGCAGTCACCTTCATTTACATACCCTGTATCTAAAATTATCCATAAGAAAATATTATATACATAGATTTCTTCAAAGACAACACTCTTATAATAGTTAAATTGACAGTAATATGTTCACTGGTCATTGTCACATTTGAGCAGATACTAGTACCTGGATAAGTGAAATATATAATTGTATAATATGTTAATACTTAACATCCATGTCAAATAATTTGCGTTGCTTTTGTTTCATTGAATATAACAAATAATCCATCAACTGCTGACTTGTTATTGTATTTGTGAATTAATATTCATATTCGTTGACCTATATTTGGGATACAAATCGTATTCGCCTCATAGTGTATTTGTTGCAGCCCTACAAGATACTACTTGTACTTGTACAATTTACAGTCGAACTTGGTTGTGTCAAACTTGTATGTGTCGAATTTCCGGTACTCTCGAACTCTTTTGGGTGTCCCAAGTATGCAAATCAAGTAAAAAACTCCCCGGATGACTCGAACATCCACACACACAACTTTCAATCACTTCACACACAATTGTCTGACCTGCAACTGCAATTGCGTCAAAGGCAGGATATCTTGTAACAACAAGCAAATACCCAATCAAGCCTAACTACCTAGCACACCTGACAACAATGGTGCAAGCTGATAACTATATACACATCTGCAGCAAGTTACTTTAATTTACTCATATGACGGCTAATGACACATGAAAATTGAGAAATGAGTAAACGTGTTACGGTTATATCAGTGAATCTATTATTCGAGATACCGTATTTGACATAATAAGCACCCAGGGCGCTCTCAAAATTAGAAATAGGGGGCTCTTATTAGAATATTATTTTAGTGAAAAAAAACAGCGTTGAAAGATAAATTTTGTGGTTTATGCTGACAGCCTGAAATGTTTATGTACGGCCGATATATTTTTCCAGAATTTAATTGCCCATAATTAAGGGTGCATATAACACAGGAGTGCGTATTATACGCAAATGAATAAGTCTTGTTTACATTGATCAATCTGAAGGGTGCTAATTGGCGCTTATTACGTCAAATACGGTAAGACTTAAATAATGAGGCCAATCAAGATGGGGACAGTGAATGATACGTCAAAGTTGCCGCCCCCTTCAGTGGCCTTCACTACCGGCAGCCTGGGCAATGAAATTCACGTACATCTTGAAATCTAGTGTTGCATTCGGACCTGGTATTACTCTCTCATAACATAATGTTTGGTTTTGGAAGATGCTCTTGGTTGTCTCGAACCCCGGACCACTTTTTTTCCAGGTCCCCATGAGTTGACACAAAGAGATTTGACTGTATATCTTTGTCTGACCATGCTAACTGGTGTACTACGTCCAACCCTGAAGCATCTATCCACTATCACCTAACTGTATATATTAAACATATTTTATTGCCCAAAAAGACAAAGGTATTGAGCACAAGTGCACCACTTACTGCCACCTTCTCCCTATATACAGTTAAACATAATATTGCATAATGGAAATGAATAATTTACAACTGAAGCTTGACACTGAGGAAACATAGTGCATAATATATATACACCTAACTGTGACAGTGTCTGGGCAGTTTTCGAAACTAAGGGGATCCCGGCAGCTTACCTCCCATATTATTTGAATGTAGGGATTCCTAAATCCATACATTTTAACACTGGGGTTATGACAAGGACCCCTTCACACTCAAGCTTAATTTCAAACACTATGATGTGATCCAGCTTCCTGTCAAAGTAAACATGAGGACACATTTTCATAACTTGTTCTCCTCTGAGTTTTTGGTCTGAAATATCTCAATGTTCACATCCACGGTAGTGATGATTGCAAACGCTGTACTTGAGAAACTTGGCAAAATGATTGTTTTGTTTATTGATTGATGCCACACTCAGCAATATTCCAGCTTTATGACGACAGTATGTAAATAATTGAGTCTGGACCAGACAATCCAGTGATTAATAAAATGAGCATCGATCCACGCAATTGGAATTGATGACATGCATCAACCAAGTCAGCGAGCCTGACCACCCGATCCCATTAGATCTCAAATCTTTTTTGGAGGAGGTTTACAGATACAAGATACTAGGGCTGTACCCATTCATGAATTGAATTTGTTATTTCTGACCAATAGAATTGAATATTTATTAATATGCAGTCACCTTCATTTACATACCCTGTATCTAAAATTATCCATAAGAAAATATTATATACATAGATTTCTTCAAAGACAACACTCTTATAATAGTTAAATTGACAGTAATATGTTCACTGGTCATTGTCACATTTGAGCAGATACTAGTACCTGGATAAGTGAAATATATAATTGTATAATATGTTAATACTTAACATCCATGTCAAATAATTTGTGTTGCTTTTGTTTCATTGAATATAACAAATAATACATCAACTGCTGACTTGTTATTGTATTTGTGAATTAATATTCATATTCGTTGACCTA